ATATATATATATATATATATATATATATATATATATATATATATATATATATATATATATATATATATATATATATATATATATATAAAACTCTTGTTTTATATTTATTGAAATTGAATAGTTATATTATTGTAATTATACTAATAAACAATTGTATATGCATATTCTATAAATTTTCGGTATATGCAATTAAAAAATGTTAGTACTTTATTATACCAACAAATATTCTAACAAAACTAAACTCATACAATATTCAATATATACTATAAAAGAATAGTAGTATTCCATTATATCTACATGTATTTCAATCAAATTAAACTTATACACATCAATATTCCAATAAAATAAAAATTTAGCTACGAGAGGGAGAGATCTTGGGAAATAAGAAATGGGGATAGAGGGGAGAGGTAAAAGGTAAAAAGCTGGTGTAAATAGTAAAGGTCTCATCCCCTAAAAATGGGATTGTGCCTTAGCTAAAACTATTTTTTAGGGTAGAATAAAAATCAAATCTTTTTAACCGTAGAGTAAAAGGTAATTAATTAGAGCTATTTTCTAGGGTGGTATGCGCTGATATTTTTAAAAGTAAAAATGGACTAAAAAGTTATTATAGGTGGGTTGAAAGAAAAATAATAATGAAATTTATAGTGTTAATTGGTGTTTCCGTAGAGCATACCACGTAAATTTCTTTAAATCGTCAATTGCACAATTACGATTATCATTTCACTTAACTATTTGGAGCATTACACGATCTAGTGAGAAATTATAAGATGGCAAATGTTAAATCATTTGGTTTTTGAAGCCACATCCGCCTGTACTAATCCAGATTTGCATTAAAGACATTAAGGGATAAGTTATTCCTATTAAGAAATTCTATAATCCAAAACTAAAACTTAGACATCTTAGTTAAGGATGAAGAGATTCCAATCATCTCTCCACTTCCATTGGTTGTGATTGTTAATTAAATTCAACGTCCAATTTCAACTTTTTTTTTGGTAATTAATTGTTTATTATTACCAGGGAAATATTTACAAGTATAACAAAACCCTCTCAAAATTCACATAGATTTGGACATGCAGCCCCAAATCTAATGCCCTCATTTTTACATGGCTATTTATCTACAATCTATGGATAAAAATTGAGTTCCTGCAGTTTCCTAGCTACCTTGGTATTCAAATTTCCTCGATAGTGTACATCTTGGACTATCATTCTAGTTAACTCCTCGCAATTCCTTTGTGTTCCTTGAAATGTTCTCCAGTTTCTTTCCTGCCATATGTAATACACAGTGCAAGCTAGCAACATTCTATATATTACATGTATTTGTTTCTTCCCTGTTGTATGTCGCACAACCCATTGAACTTCCTCATTCCACCCCTGCACAACTCTTGTTACTCCCAGCCATTGTAGTAGCTTCCTCCATATTGTTGTTGAGTAGTGGCACTTGAAGAATAAGTGATCATGACTTTCTGCTTCTCTTTCACATAGCGAGCAATCTGAACAAATTGCTATGCCCCAGCCCATTAATCTGTCTCTCGTGTACAGTCTTCCAAGAATTGCCAGATATAGGTTGAATATCCATTTTGGGCTGCTCATGTTGTTACAGATTAACCTCTTCCATTCCACTTTGGGTAATTCACCTCTGAGTTTGTCACCTGCCTGATGGAGTATTCTTGCATGTTCATCACTTCTTCTATTCCTATACTTGCCTCAGTCAAGTATTTAGTAGCACCTAAGATCTTCTGAGTGAGCCAATCAGCTTGTTTAGCCTTCACATTCCATACTACCTGATTTTTTATATAGTATGTGTGAATCCACTGAATCCACAAGCGGTCCTTCTTTTTGTTTATATTCCATAAATGTTTGATCAAAGTAGCTCTATTCCATGTTAAGATATCAGTTATGTTCAAACCCCCTGCAGATTTTGGCCAACACAATTGCTTCCAAGCTACTAGAGCTTTAGTCCTATTCTCAGCTTCTCCTATCCATAAGAACCTTTTACAAATTGTCTCAATTCCTTGAATGATCTTCTTAGGCAAAGGGAAGATTTGGGACCAAAAAGACTGTACAGCAAACAGTACACTTTTGATCAATTGCAATCTCCCTGCATATGATAGGAATTTGGTTGTCCAGTGCTTGATTCTGCCTAGCATTTTATCCAACAGAGGTTGACATTGAATTGTGGATAATCTCTTAATACTCAGTGGAACTCCTAGATACCTGAAAGGTAGGGAGCCTGTGGAAAAGCCTAAGTATTGGATAATTTGATGCTGGATATTCTCTGTAACCCCTCCAAAATATATGGAACTTTTCTCCTGGTTTGCAATCAGACCTGAAGCTTTTGAAAATTGGTCAAAACACTGGTAAAGTAACTGAATGGATACCACATCTCCTCTACAGAACAGCAATAAATCATCTGCAAAGCTGAGTTGAACAATATGCAGCTTCTCACACCTGGGATGGTAGTTGAAATCAGGCTTATCCTTCAAAGTCTTTAATATTCTAGTGAGATACTCCATGGCTAGAACAAAGAGATATGGTGACAATGGGTCCCCCTGTCTAACTCCCCTTCTTGCATCAAATGGCCTTGTTGGCTTCCCATTGACAACTATAGTATATGACACTGTAGTGACACATTCCATGATCCATGATAGAAATTTTCCTGGGATGTTCATTTCTGTGAGCACTTGTTCAAGGAAATTCCATTCGATGGAATCATTACGCCTTTTGCATATCATTTTTTACCATACACCTTGGTGATACACCCTTCCTACCATACCCTTTAACAAGTTCATGCCCAGTAGAATATTGTCACTCAATATCCTGCCTGGTACAAAAGCTGCTTGACTCATATCAACTAGGGACTCCATTACTACTTGCAATCTACTTGTGAGCATCTTGGAAATGATCTTATATATGATAGTACAACAAGATATTAGTCTGAACTGTTTGACAGAAGAGGGTTTTTTCACTTTTGGAATCAGAGTGACTGTTGTGCTATTTACTGGTTTATACATTAGCCCTTCATAAAAGAACTCCAAAACAGCTTTTGTGATGTCATTGCCAATTATTTGCCAAGTCTTCTTGTAGAAGTATGCATTGAAACCATCCCCACTGGTGCCTTTGAGTCTCCAATCCCCTGTAGTGCCTTCCTCACATCTTCATTAGTGAAAGGAGCTATAAGTTGTAATTGCTGAGACCTTGTAAGCACTTGTCCTTTCCTCATTATTCTAGGATCAATAGCAGGAATACTATTTGTGGAACTCCCTAGCAGTTCTTTGTAGAACCCAACAATCTCTTGTTCAATATCATCTGTTTTGCTGATCAACCTTCCTTTGTCATCCTGTAGGAATTTTGTTTGATTCTGTGCTACTTTCCCTTTCATACTTGCAAAGAAGAAGGCTGTGTTGGAATCACCTAGTTGGAGCCATTGGATTCTAGATCTTTTTCTATAAATGCTCTCCTCTATTTTACTCCATTTCTCCAGTTGCTTTTTTGTATTTTTCTCTGATTCAAACATGGTATCTGTTATTGTGGTGGTCCTCATTTGTGCTTGAATGCTGGCTAACTCCTCCCTCAATTGTTGAACCTTGCTTGTTGTACTGGTAAATTCCCTTGTGTTCAGACTCTTAAGGGCCACTTTGACACTTTTTAGATTGTTCCAGATATCCTTCATATTTTTGTTCTCCTTGTTCCAGCTGTCTCTAATAACACTATCAAAATCTGGGTGCTCAGCAAGACAATTAAAAAACTTGAAAGGTCTCCCTTTGTGTTCTGGTTCTGCTTCCAGCTCTATACATAAAGGAGAATGATCAGAAAACTGAGGATCCATCACATGGACTTGCATTGGAGGCATGTTTATCATCCAGTGTGCATTGACTAGGGCTCTATCAATTCTGCTATAAACATGGCTATTTGTCCATGTATAAGTTCTACCCACAGTACCAAGTTCATTCAAACTGCAGTCCTCCATTAGAGATCTAAAGTCTTTGATCTCATTTTCCTGTACCACTGTGCCATTCACCCTATCTTCAATATCCCTTACTGTATTAAAATCTCCCATGTGTTGATACCCAATTTTTCCCTAAGTATTTTTATGTACTCAAAATATCCTCAAAATAGCATATACATGCATATATAAGCATTCCCAAGAGTTTTGGTATTTTTCCTTATTTTAAATCAATTTATTGTCTATTTTAACAGTACAAAATCCAATAATTATTCCCAAAATTATTATTTTTTGTGAATAACTTATTTTATTCTCATATTTACACCAAATATAATTAAGGTAATTTTTTGTATATTTTTACAAATTTGTTTGGTATTTTTAAAGCTAATTGCATATAAAGGCAATTATAGCCTATTTTATGATTAATAGTGTTTTATAATTGTAAAATTAGTTCTAATATTTTTAAATTAATACATATGTATTATTAATTGGTTCAGCATCTTCAATTTTCTTTTAAAATCATTTTCACTATTTTTATAAAATAACAGGGGAAACCTGGCTATTTCAATTTTGGCCACATTTCATTTCAATTATAGCCTCAATTTCATTTTAATCTTAAACCCAATTGGCCCCAATCCTAATGCCCAATTGGGCCAGCCCAATTCCAATTTAACCCGACCCCTGACCCATTAAACTAAACCCGCCCGGGATCCCTTTAAATCCAGGCCGTTGATCCTTTTGATCAACGGCCACAAATAACCCTTCCTTTTAATTCCAAACGACCTAACCCTAACCCTCATTTCTCTCAGACAACCGCCCCCAAACTCTCTCCTTCTCTCAAACGCTCCCTAGCACTGGAAACCCTAATCGCCTCCACCGTCTTCTCCGAGTAATCTCATCGGAGTCCATGGCTTCTCCGGCCATGGACATCCTGTGCTTA